TTTGGATGAAAGAGTTCTATGGCATGCATTGAAAGTTAAAGGGCATTATTTGTTCAGCCAAATCATTAATGTATCAAGTCATGTGATATTATTGTCAGATTCAGTTTATAACATCCTCTTTAAACAATGGCAGAAAAAAGTTTGATCCATCAAATTGCATTCGAAATTTGTTACATAAACCGAACCAAAACTGAAACCGGCCAGCAACATTATAATCCGACGATCAAAGAAAGAAAACTATTTGCACACTGTAGAGAAAGCACACAGATTATGTACATAAAACCCTCAACAAATTCTCTCTGCTTAGATGTTTGTTTTCTTCTCCATATTTAGACCATAAACTCTGAATTTAGTTCCTCAATAATCAACAATTTCATCCTCAAGAGACCCTTTGTGCAACAAATGCCTCCCAAGCATCCTGCAAAACACAACACACGGTCAAACGAGCAATCGCCATTATAACTACACTCGATTAACAGAATCTTATAACTACATTATAAAGAGGTGGTTTTTATAGTTCGTCGAGTTGTGAAATTTTATGCGAATAACAGCTAACCTGAAGAAGTGAAAAAGCTTTATCGGCAATGTATTTCTGCTGTATCGTGGCTCCCCTTTGCTGCAACTTATCAGGGTGTAAGCACAAACGAGCTTTCTGATACGCTTTCTTCACTTGTGAGATCTCAGTTAAGTCTGAAAGAGATACTGCAAACCAACCACTCTCGCGCCATAGAATCTGAAACAGACGATTCGAAAATCGAGAGCTTATGTATATATATATTATATATCAGGCAATATACGTAATGAGCAAAAATGGGTCTTTTTTTTACCTGATGCAAAGAAGATAGAAGCAGCCGAATATTTGCTCGCTTGTTAGCAGACCACATTCGTAACTGCTCATCGAGTATTTGCATTTCGTTTTGCACCTGTCGAGATTTAAATTTAACATATTAGACGTTTTTTCTTGAACTAAAAGTAAGAAAAAATGATCGTTTTTCTTTGCACCTTGGACTCAAACCGTTCTTTATCTTCCCGAGGACCCCACTCATCGTGCTGCAAGTCCTACAATAAAAACCCGAGAAAGAAAAAAGGAAAATGGCTCGATTAAGCATTTGGGCCTAAGTTCCAGAACAATCCATGTGAAAACTTTTATATCGCAAACTGTACCGATAATGGTCCGAAACTATCCGCGTGCCCCTGATCAGACTCGCGATGACCGTTAAATTTTTCTGCATAAATTCATGAAGCAAGCCGTACTAAGTTTTTTTTTTTTTTTTTTTTTTAGATTAAATTTTTCATAAATTTTATTGCAAGAGGCGAAAAATCAAAACCTTGGGCTGGATTTTTCATCTCGCATTGTGTATGAAATTTCTCTTTGGCCCAAGCAATCGCCTCATCTACACCGTTCGATTCATATGTACTTCTTTCACCTCGATTTTCGGTATTAATCTCGATAACATATGAACTCATGTCATCATCTTCATCTTCATCTTCATCCTCCTCATCGTACCCCAAAAATCCATCCTCCGTTTTTAGCTTCTCTTCTGAAGGGCTAACCGAAGAAACTGCCGAAGATAGTGAGTTGAGCTCGAAATCATCTGGAAAGCTATCATTCGATACGTGGTTAAGGCTGATTGTCTCGGGAGATGTGTGTCTTCGGCTTAAACCGAAAGTGTAGCCTTTTAAGATGTCAGTGTCGTAAACTGGCCGAGCTGCTGCAAATGATTGTTTTTCGGGTTCATATTCATTTACCATTGTTCTTGAAGTCCACTTGGACCTCACATTTNACAATGGATCAAAAATTTTTGGATGTTATTAGTAGAAAACTACTTAACTTGGTTCTTGGCTCAAAAAAATTCAAGATTGCATATTCTAATCTTGGCTGGAAATTTAAAATTAAGCCCTTTTCTTTCAACACAATCTTTTTAATGTTTATCAGCTAATTCTCCAAATTGTGATCAAATAGCTTGAACAATAAGTAAAATTGCAGTTTCATATGGAAAAAATATTGGATTTTTATTTTCTTGTCAACAAAATCAAGCCCATCTTTTGGCTGCAAATTTAAAATTAAGCCCTTTTCTTTCAACACAACCTTTTTAATGTTTATCAATTAGTTATCCAAATTGTGATCAGTATTCTCAACAATAAGTAAAACTGCAGTTTCATATGGAAAAAAGATTGGATTTTTATTTTCTTGTCAAACAAAATCAAGAGGCGTAATCAGAAAAACATCAAAACAGAGTAAAAAAAAATGTCCGACTTTAGAGACCAAAACCAAGAGCCCACCTGAGTTTCGAGGCGAAATAGGAAACATCATCTTGGCCGTCGACGGCGGCCGCCGGCTGGAGAGGGCTGAGCTCCTCCGAGCTCAGTACCGACGATGAGCTTGCCTTCGAACGTGACCTTGACCTAACCACCCTCTCATGATCTTCCCACCCAAAGATATCACTGTAGAAATCGCTACCCTTCTCACCCGGGATCCTAAACTCCGGCAACATCCTGCCGGTCCTTCCCGCCGCCGCAGGCGGCGGCGCCCTATCGGCCGGCCGGAAGATCTCCTCGTAAATGAAGCCCCCGGAGGAGGACGAAGTCGACCGCGATCTCTGGCAGGCGGTGGCAAATCGGCCGGAGAGGACCGTGCGAGGGGGCCCGCCGAAGACGTCGTCGAAGTCCTCGGGGTTTAGGGGCTCGTCGGAGATGGTGTTTTGCCGGCGGTGTGAGGCGGCGGCCGCCGTGAGTCGGCCGGGGAGGTGGTCCGGTGGGTACCCTGTTGGCGGCGGCGGCATTTTGGGCATTCCCATCCTCATTCTCCAAGACTCGTCCATGTCGGAGGATTTTTCCGGCGAGCGGCGGGCGGCGGAGACTGGAGGGGGGCGCGTGCCTGCGGGCAGTGATTGCTAGTTAAGTGGTATGGTGCATATCGTTTTACACTGTGCCAGTCCACAATATAAAGCTTGTTTTTTCAAANTTCAAAGAAGTGATTAAGAATTAAAAAGGAGTAAAAATATAACAATAAGGCTGATGTTAGACACGTGTGAAAGTTATACATTCATATACACCATACTTAAACAAATAACATATATAAAAATATGACATTTCATAGAATAAATATACATTTCTAATTCATCAATAACAATGAATTGTCGACATGTCTAACAGTTAGATCGTTTCATACAAATTATTTGAAAAAAAATAAAACAAGAAACGGAAAAACCATTAATATTAATCGACCTCAAAATAAAACCTATGTCAATTGCTTAAGATCCACTTAAAGTTTTGAGAGAAAATAAAATTTAAAATTAATCTTGTGATACTATATGAATTTGACTTTACTTTGGGAAAAATCATAATAGTAACATGAAAAGTTGATTTATGTAAATTTACCTAACTTCAATGTCCGTCCCTTTACGGTATGGCGTTGTTTGTTCCCTCAATTTGTGAAATTATATCTTTTGGGCTGTCTAATTTTAGAGGGTTTAATTTAATTTATAAACAAATTCTCCCCCTATAATTGATATATTTATTTTGAATTTTTTGAGTCATTTAAAAAAATATCAATATTAGTTCTTTACATTTAATGTGACTATCGTCACACATAAAACTTTAAATGAAACGAATTTTTTGTGAGGTCAGCTCAATTACTCCACTCTTTTAGTTTACAAGCTCGACTCGTTCGAGAACAAGTAATTGTACGATTTTTTATTTTTTCTAAAAAAGTTGACACTTGAGTTAGACTTGTTAATATTAATAAATTAGTCGAACTCGAGTTCGATCCAGATCGTTCTAGCTCTTGTCAAGCATGATATCATATTATCATTGTCAATTATCATGGATAGCTAACTTCCCTATATATAATGTGAGAAATTATTAGGGTAAATAATGAGACTAGCCTTCTACTTTACTTGTAGAAACTTGAGTTACCGAACAATTGACTCATATTCGAGACTCGAGAGCATATATATATATATAAACGCGTATATCTATCTTTTATTATTAGGATATTGTCCTTATAATTGCACTAGTCTTTTTTTTTTTTGGGGTNTTAATAATTAAATAAGATGCTTAATTAATACAATATTTTTTTCATCCACTTAGTCGTTATTCAAAATAAATAATCAAAAGTTTCACGACTTCGACCCCTAAAGTAACTATAGTGAAATTCAAGATTGAATTTTTTAATATCCAAATATAAATCCAAGAAAAAAAATAATCGGAATTTATACCAATAGTATTATTTGATCAAAATAAATTTAAAATTGTCTAATTACTTTATATTTTTCGCATAAATATATTGTCACATACTTAAAACTGCATTTCTCAAGTTCAATTAAGTTTATGTCCTTATCATTTTTATTTCTTAATAAATTTTTTATGGGAATGACGGTCTTCTCCATTCATTTTTACCTTTTGACTTTATCACCTTATGAGCACACAATTACATGATTTTCTTCCATAATATCACAACGTTGAAATAATTGTGCTAAAAATTCAGCTTAACCTGTTCCTTTATTTTTCTTTTTCCCACGTCTTTTGGTGGCCATAACTATATTTAGGTGGAGAACAGCCAAAAAAATCTTCACATGGGAAATTAGAAAAAAATGTGATTAATTTTTTTATTTAAATTTTAGATGATAGATAGAAACCTTCTGATAACTAAATTCAAAGCACTTGGAAGAGAAAATTGGGATATTGATAATAATCATACAAGAAATATGTATGTAAATGTGGGCAACTTATATACTCACTAAAATCAATCGTGCTGTGTTTGGATATTGTAATTTTTTGGTATATTAATTTCATTATATGTCAATCTTGCTTCAGAAATTGTTGAAATTTTAAATTTAAACTAGTATTTGATCCTGTGTATTTGCACAGAAATAAAACACGTTTTTGTTTGTATTGATTAATTAGACATGTACTTCTATCATATAAAAAATATTACTTTTTCTTAAGTTATTTTTATCATTTACAATTAATTGAGATTTAAATTTTACTTTAACCATGCAACGTTTACATTAGTAACATGAATAAAATAATTTATAAATTTGTGGCATATATTAAGAAAATTAACATAAATACAAAAAATTATTAGTGTTTCTGATTTTTAGAAAAAAAAATATGTGTCAATCATATTTTTCTTTCAACAATGCAACCAAATATAGCGGTTACAGCTCTGAATGTGTCAATCAACTTTAAGTTCCAACATTAGCCGTTACACATTTGAATATTTTGCTACCAAATTTAGAATTAATTTAGTAACTGATCCAAAAAAATAATAAAAATCTATATATTAAGGTGTAACGATTTTAGCATATTAATGAATAATTAATTAAAAAAATATAACTCCTTTTGAAGGGAAATGAAAATAAGTTTTATTAAATGTTTTATTTATTACTTATAACTAGTAATTATATATATATAGATTATCGTTGATAATGAATAGAAAACCTAAAACGAATTAAGGGGTATTATAGATAGAGAAAATGAACAAAACAATATGTCATTCATTAATTTTGGACAAGGAGTTAACCATAAATTGGCAATCAAAATCGATGCGGCGAATGCTGCCGAGAAGCTGGAACTTCAACCATAAATTTATCTAAATGTTCGATATTTTATTAGAATATTCCATTTGAAACATTATTACATAATCAATTTAGATAAGTAATCCGATGGTCATATGACTCATATCTCCAATAGGACGCCAACAAATAGATAATGCAATTTGAATATTATTTTTGGGCTTAAAGAGTGATTTGTCGTTGATCGAAGAATAATATAACAAAATTAATAAGACCTTTGAATAGATCAGATCGAGAGTTTTTATTTGATATAAACCGAAAAATAAAAATTTAACACAAGATTAAAAACTATTATATAAAATTGAAGCCCTAAAAATTTTATTTGGCGAAATTGACAAGAAGTTAGAAGTTACAGTATCAAATTGCAACTCTAGAAAAACTATTGGATAAAAACGATAACTACGAAAGTTAGTGTAACAATATCACATTTGTGTTTTTTATGTGAAATTCAATTAGAAAATATGATTTACGAAAGTTAGTGTAACAATATCACCTTTCTTTCCTTGTGTTCTTTTATGTGAAATTCAATTAGAAAATTTTCATTAATTATTTCGTTTGGACTAAGCGAAAAAGGATAAAGAAATCATGATTATAAACAAATCCAAATTCTCCAATCTCCAATGATAATGATAGTCGAATAAACAGACGTGGACAAGAGGCACGAGGAGTTAAGCTAACATTGCGCAGCTTATTTTTCACCAAATAAGTACATTTGATGGCAAAAAGTGTGGAATGGGTCGAATTAGACGAATAAAATAAATTAGTTTTATAATAAATTAAAAAAGAGCGTGCATAAAATTGAAAAGAGGTGAGGGAAAAGATAGTTGACAACTCCAAAGGAGACAATGCATGATGTTTTATTCTATTCTAATTATCTCCTCTTTCTAAATTTTTCACTCATCTTTGCTTGAAAACTAATGAAAGTAATCATTAATTTCTTTGAAAAACAAATAGTATTATTTATTCAATAAAAGTGGTGTTAATCTTTTCCAGTTGGGACCCAAAAGGATTTATTCTTTGATGTCCCATGGGATGTTTGGTAAGGGGGATTGATGGGTTAGGTTTGATTTATGATCATGATGACCCCAAAACAAAAATCAACCACTTAAATGGTATTTGCACCATTTTTCAGGATTTTTTTTCAGCAAATGACTTGGATAGTGTTTTGGCTATCATTTCTTGTTATTTAATTAATGTCTTGTAGCCAGCATTTGAATCTTATATATGTCTTCTTCTCGTGAAACTTACTCCAACCCACAAGCCACATCCCCTGATTTTTTTTCCCCTACCTGGTTTTAGGCCTAAAAAATATCAATTTTCTTACATATAT